TTTTTATAAAAGCCTTTTGTAAGCTTTAAAAGATTTTCCCTATGGAAAAAAGTGAAGTAAATAATTTTAAATATTTTATTTAATTTATATTTAAAACTATTTTTCTTAATTTAAATAAATAGGAAACACTTTGATAAATATCAAAAAGCTAAAAAAGGTAAATAAAAAATAAAAACAAATAGTCTTGAGTCTAATTAACAAAAAATTATATTGAACATAAATGAAAAATAACCTCATGATAATAAGCAAAATACCATTGATCTTGATTTTAATACTCCAAAGAATTCAGAAATAGCCTTTATTAATTTGAAGAACTCTCCTGATTTTTATAAATCTGCTTAAAATATTAAAAGTTTAAATAGCTCTATATAATCTCCTATCCGTTCAACTAGACATATTATGCCTTCTTACTAAAAAAGCAACTTTTAAAATTTATAAAATTAAGAATAAAATACATCCTTACATTACAAAAAAAATGTAGAAGAATTTGAACAAAAACCTATTTAAAAGACAATTGAAGATAAAAAGGAAACTTAAAGTATACATATAGTTTCAGAGATTGCTTCTATATCGGATTTAAATTTGGAAGAAAACACTTAAGTAAATTAGATGTTTAATGTGGCATTTTTTTAATCACAATATGAGCTCTTATAAAAGATGAAAGAGGACATTTATAAAAATTAATAACAAAGTAGTGAGTAATTATCTAATAATCATTGAGTACTTTATTAAAATACATGCTTCTATTGAATAAATAAATATATTTCTTCCTCAATTTAAAAGGAATTTACAATTAATATTTTAAATAAAAATAAATTATATGTTTTTTAAAAAGAAATAAATAATGTAATTTATATATATTTAGCTGTACTTTTTATATATTTGCTTCAGATTCATACATATATACTTGCTACAAATTTTTTAGAATTTGATAAATTAATTATTAAAATATATTTTATGTCTGGTATATAAAAAATACTTTGACAATGAATTTAAAATATTAAAGATAAATTTATTTATTGATAATTTAGATTTACTTAGTAGTAGGTACTTGAATTTTAATTTAATTATAGAAGAAATTAAATAAATGAATATTAAACGCTCTCTCTTTTTTACTTCTTTGGTAGTCATCATAATAAATAAAAGTGATAGTTACTGCCTAATATTTCATTTATGGAAATTAAAAAATACAAATTTTAGAAACTTTTGAGAATATAGAAAATAAAAACAAACTACACTCTTTTGATTTTTACAAAGAATAATTAATTAATTATTATAATATTTAAAATAGCATATAGTTAAAAATAAAGAGAAGTCATAATACGAAAGAAAATATGAAGCAAATTTATTTGTTCTTAATAATTTACCTAATTAGAGCTTATTGCAAACCTTGTTAAAGTTAAAATTTATATGGAAACGTTTGTCATTCCAGTTATATTAAGAAATTTATTCTGGATTAAGACTTAAATTAAGCATACTCGATATCTGATGATTAACTAATTATAACATGGGATATTATAAATGGTAAATATATCAATAGCTTTTCTGGACATAGGAGCTTTTTAGTAGACATTAACTTAGATGATAATGGAAATATTTATAGCGTAAGTAGTACAGGAGATATAATCATTTAAAACAAATATAATAGCTCTATTAAATAGATCTTTAATTGCACAAATGGTGGATTTATCTAAAATGTAACAAAGTTTGATTCTACCTTTAACTATTTTCTCTATTATGATTCTTCGTAAACAAAAGTAAATTTATTTGTTTTTTGTAATAGAAAATTAAATGTAATAAATGCATTTTTGGAAAATATTATAATGTTAGAGCTTGTAAAATATACTCTACAAACCCTATTTTTCTCAAAATTTTCTTGATAAAAAACATTCTTTAATTACTTAAAAAAAATCAAGCAAATTATTTTTTTTTGTACAAAAATATGTCTAGTTTTTATATCATTATTATATATATAAATAAAATAAAATTATATTTGCCTCAAAAAATATTATTCTAAAAAATAATAATAATTTTATTTATTAAAAAAAGGTCAACATTTTTAGCTTAAATTAACAAAAATAAGTTCTTTCTTTGAGTTTTGATTAGTAGGAATTAATTTAAATAATTGAGAATCTTTAGTCAGATTTTATATTTTTCTTCGCAGATGGAAGTTATGTTGAGGCGAATATAAAATTGAATTAAATTAAAGGTTTTAAATTAGATAATTCAATTGCTAATGTAAAGAGTGTTATATAGAAAGATATTAAAGATTTAGACATTTATCTGATAACTTAGTAATAATTGATTTTCGATATATAATACTTATCTTAAGGTTCTATGTAAGTATAGAGTATTTAAATGCCTAGTATTAATATTGCATATTAAATTTTTATAATTCCAGAAGATGATATGTACTTTATGATTACAAATTCTAATGAAATTATATGGGGATATTTAAATTAACTTTAATTATAAAAGAAATTTTAAAACATCTAATTTACAGATTTTGAGATAATCAATCAGCTGACTCTTTATTAAATAATCAAAATTAATAATAACCAGTATGTTGCATCCACGCATTTAGGATATTTATTATAATTAAATATTTCTTAAAATTAGCTTACATATATAAATACTAAGCGTTACTATCCCATTTAATATTTAGCTCTCACTGAAATCAATAAAAATTAGATGCTTTTTTATAGTTTTCAAGGAAACTATGAAGGGATTCAAGCTATTTCTACTTCTAATTAGGAAGTTTAAATTGAAATGAGATGCCTTTAATTACCGTGGAACTTAAATACAGAATAAAGCTAGTTAATTTTTAATTCTGAAGAAGACCAACTGGTAAATACTTATGTTGGAGGAGCTAGTCTGCAGGACCTAACATCTAACTAGTTTACAAAATAAATGAGAATATTTCAGCAAAGACTAATTCTTCCATATTAATCAATTATTGATTATAATATAGGTGTCCTAGTATTTTTAGATAATGATTTCATCAATGTTGTTAATTAGTATACCTTTGAGTTGATTAAATTTATTCAATTTGTTTCAAACCTTAGTAAAATAAAGGCAGATTTGAAATACAATCAAAGTAGCTCAAATTTATATGTAACAAGCAGTGGAAACAATAGTATTTATTTTAATTTAAGATTATGAATATAAATTTATTTACATCTTTATTTTAAAATATTAAATATTTAGTGGTTTAGCTTACTGTTGTAAATTTAAAAACAATGTTGGTAGCATAATACAACGCCTCATTAAACCTTTAGTAAATTAATTAACTTAACATAAATTTTTTTTTTTTTCAACTATTTTTATCTAAAATTTAGGTCTAGTTGCATTAGTTAAGAGTACTTTCCTGAAAAAAATTTAGTTATGTGTTTTAGTTTTTCGAGTATTACCCTTTATGATATAGATTTAGCGTAGTAATAGCTAATCATTAAAGTAAATTAAAACCTGAATGACTTTACAGTAATAAAGGCATAAGATTAAAATTTCTTGCTACTGCTACATGGATTTGGGTAGCAAACAGTAGTTACAAAGTATAATTCTACTACATTAGAGTTAATTGATAATTCATTCATTTCAGAAAGAGGAATTACTAATATATATTTATAATCATAGTAAAAGGTTGTAATTGTTTTCTCATCATAAAACCCAACTTTTATTTTTGATATAAATGGTAAGTAAGTATTTAAAGCTAGCAAAAAAAATTAAAATACTCAAATATTAATTTAAGCTGAAAATTATATTTATCTTTAACAAGATCAATAAATTGAATCCATAAATTTACAAACACATAAAAGCTAAATTTATCATATTACTTAATAGAATTTAATTACTTGCTACTTTTATGATTAACAAAATTAGTTAATATTTTTTGGATACTTGGAAGGGGATATTTTATATGGTTCTTACAATGATCTCTCTAAATACAATTTAATTAAATCTAATTTGTAACTAGTTAAAATTTACTTCAACGCACCAAGTTAATTGCTATATGCATGTAAATTTTCTTTTTTTATACACCATATAAAATTTTAATACTATTCAAAAATATATAAAAATATAGTAGTTAAATTATTATATTAAATTTATAAAAAAATATAATTAAATAATTTTAAATTTCATAAAATAATTATTTACATTAAATTAAGAATAATAAGTCACTGCAAACAAACCTGAAGAGATCATTATACTTAAAATAAATCAATAGTAAGAATTTGATTATTAATATTAAGTAACTTAACTTATGAGTTAGTAAACAACTTTATCTGCGAGCTTTAATTTAATAATACAAATTAAGCAAAATTAAATAGTATTTTATGATATAAGAAATGGATAAACGCTTTTAAAATTTAATGATGACAAAGTATATACTGAGTATATTAGTTCATTTTACGTAGGTACTATTTTAAATGGAAATAAATTCTATGTTTTAACATAGTTTTATTTTTGCCTCTACTCGTTTAAATATCCTAAAATACCTGAGTAATCAATTACAGTTAAAAGAGAAAATTGTATAAATTCTTTGTCATATGGATTTGATATTTCTTCAAGTATTAATTCAAAGTTTGAAACTGCTTTAATTATAAATGGTAATACCTATATTTATGATTTGAATACATTTAAGCTAGTTTAAACATTAAATTTATATTGCTGCATTTCTGGATACAGTTACAGTATAAAGCATGGAATATATTTTGGATCACTAGATATGTTTGTTTTTCCGATATAGCTTTAGTTTATTTCAACATCTTAAAATAAAACACTTAATTAATTCTTTGTTGATGCTACTTTGTTTTAAAATATTATCTAAATAAGTTAAGATTTTACTTGCTACACAGATTCACAAGGGTAAAATTATTATTGTTTTTCAAAAATAATTTACTAACATTTTTTATCAATTTATTTAATAAGATTATTTAATTTTATCAAACTATTTATTTGCTGAATTTATTTAAATTAAAAAGATTTCACAAAATTCTTTACTTTCAATAAAATGTTTTATTTTACTAGCTCGTTTAAGCTAACATATAATTAACTTAAATATAATTGATAATAATTATAAATATTAATTAATAAATAATTATTTAAAAAGGTGGGTGTGGTTTTATTCTTTCTCATCATAAACATTAGTTCATTCAAAGAGATTTCATGTTAGCGTCACAACTATGTTAATTTACTTGGAGTTATCTTCTGAAATATTTGCAATAAGTTAAAATAAAATATATTATGGAATTCTTAATTTTTATACTGGTGACGACATATAGAATTATATTATAAATTCTTAGTCTAGTAGTGTATCAGATATTTAATTAATAGATAATTTAGACTTATTAATTGTCAATAGTGGTGATTCTTAATATGAGTTTTATTAAAAATCTACAGGATCTTTGCTATAAACTATCAAATAGCCTTTAATTTTCTATGTCTAATCATTTTAGTAATTGATTTATCTATAATATAATAATGGACCATTTAAAATGTTTGACATAAATTCACTTTTTTAAAATACAGAATTTTTCTTAGATAGAAATCAAAATGTCATACCTAAATTATATGATCAAAAAAATTAAATGATTTATGCTATTTCATATCTGAATTAAGTTTATTAAATAGATGTTCTCAATCAAAAAATGAACAGTTTAATGATAAGATTAAACTCTATAATTTCTATTTCACAGATTGGTAGCTATAATATCTATCAGACATCTTAAGAAATAATATTCTAAAATATGAATAAGCTCAATTCAGTTTATTAGATCATACCTATTTCTTCGCATTAATTAGAGATAGTGCAGCTTTCTCAAGCCTAAGACATACTTCAGAATTTTAAACTAATATTAATAACTTTTCCTATATAAATATGTGTCTTAACAGGAAGTTTCGATGGCTAAAATTTAAAATACTCTGAAAAGTAGTGTTCATCCCAGCTTAATTATAAAATTAGTTCTACTTTATAGATTAATGAAAATATAACTTTAATACTGCATACTAATGGAATGATAAGTATTATCAATAACAATATAAACACAGCTGGAATAGCTGAAATTTTACTTTAATAATAATGCCATAATAAAAAATATTACATATAAAATCTGCAAAATTATAAAATTTCTAATTCTACAACAGAAATTTAATACTTTTTAACTTATTCGATTGATCTATCTATAAAATTGTTGTAGTTAACAATTAATAAAACTAAGAATTAATACAAGCTAAATCAAATTTATTTCTAATAATTTGATAACAAGATACTACATGTTATATTAACAAATGACTAAAAATATGTAATAGTAGGTCTTTTGAATGAAAGAAATATCTAGAAAATCTGTATTTATTGCCAGATAAATAACACAACTTTAATATTTTAAAGCTTTTTCTAGCTCCCTTTTTCCAGAAGCAAGTACTAAATTCAATTATATGAGAAATAAAACTATCTACTAGTTTTTTCAAGCTAAATGTTCATACTTTTTGATTTTTTAATAACAAATCCTCTTTTTATCTCTACACAAAGTTATCTCAATAACTTAATAGCTGATATATAAGTAGTAAGCAGTAATTAAATTGTCATTTCAACTTAAAATAATGTATAACTACTTAATTTAGATTTTTAATCATACAAATACAGCTTTTATGGAGCAACAACCCAGCTTTTTATTTAGCAAAATTAAAACCTAAAAATTTTCTTTGCAAATATCGAAACAAATCCTTTAGACCAATCTTATTATGTATTTAATTTGATTGGTTATGATTTAGGATTGAACGATGTGGTATTTTACAAGATACCAATTATCAGTAGCAATGAAAATTATGCTTGCTTAGAAGTTTTTGAAAATCCTACTCAAATCATGATATAAAAGAAAATAGATGGATACTAACAACTTCAAAATTCTCTTACCGTTCAAGTTAAAAATTACCAATTTTAATTGGAATTCACTTAAAACCTTCTTAATTAAAATAATACTTACATTCAAACTGCTTATCCAATAATAATACCTCACTAATCAAATAATTTAAAACAATAACTTATATTCACTGGTGAAAAAATTTATTTAGATAAAATAGATTTTATTAGCATGTAAAATTACTATACAGTTATTTTATTTATAAATGCAACCATTTATGTTAAAGATAATGTGTTGATTCAGAGTTTAACCTAAGTCGCATTCAGGAATTGCAGCTTTTATTTCTTAGTACCCGATTTGTAGTTAAAATAGTACAAAGTATCAATAATCCAAAACAATAATATTGAATTTAGTAATATAAATATCTCTAACTAATCAATTCCTAAAAACTTTTAAGGGTTCAACATTTCATCAAATTTTGATTAATTAATAATAAAAAACTTAACATTAATAAATTTAAGTTTGCAGTCTTAGAATCCTTTTTTTACAGTAAGCCAAGGAAATAACTTATCAATAAATTAAATAGTAATTGAAAAAAATAAAATTTAATCTGATTTTAGTAATTTAATTTTTTATTTAGATAGAATCAGTTTTATTTAAGTTTCAAATGTGAAAATTCATAGCAATTAAAAAGAAATAATGAATAAATAATTAGCCTAAAATTATTTTATCTATGTCACTACGAGTAAGCTTTAGTAAATTTCTAATATCAGATTTCAGTCAAATAATAATTGCTATTTCTATTACTTCCCAAACGTTTAAAAATATCTACAAGATGGTGTTTACTATTAAATTTTTTTTACTAATTCTTCTGTAAGTTTCTAGGATATCAAATACTAAAATAATACTTATAATTAAGAAAATTAAAATCCTCCTATATTATTTGAGCAAGCTTCAAATATTTAAATGAATAATCTCTTTATTAAAAATAATACATTAAAATAATCAGTTATTATCTAAATTAATTAGATTTCTAATGTGGCAATTACAAATTCCTTTTTTAGTTAAAACCAAATTCAATCTTGTATTTTATCATCAAATGGAGACTAAATAGTGATAAAAAATACTAATTTTACAAATAACAAATCATATGGCTCTGGAACAGGTTTTAATTTGAATAATTTTAATTTAACCAATTCAAATTTAATGATCGATTGTCATTTTTCTGAAAATATATCTTAAGATGAAGGAGGTGCTATTCTTTTATAAAATGTAGATATTGACATTTAAAATTCAAGTTTTCTTAATAATACCTCTTCAATTGGAGGAGCAATTAGGTATAAGGAATATATCCCAAGTTTTGTTAAAAATATCAAAAGTACCAGAAATTTATAATCATAGAAATCAATTATTTTTAAAGGAAATCGTGCTAAAATATTTGGACAAAATATAGGATCTTATCCATATAAAATAGTGTTAAAAGAAGATTTATCTCGTGACTTAGAATAATATGTTTTTGAAAACTACAGAAGTGGTGATAATAATTTCTCTATAAAATTAATCCTTTTAGATGAAGAATATAACCCAGTTAAAGTAAGCAGTAAAGATATTGGCTATTCTTTAAAAATATAAAATGAGATAAAAACATATCAATTGCAGCTAATTTCTTTGAATTTAACAGAATTAGAAATAAAAGACAATACTTAATTTCAATATATATAGAGTGGCCAAGATTATTTATTTAATTTAAAAGGTATGTAATTGCTTGGTACTCCATCTAAAAAAGTCAAATTTGAAATTTAAGCATTTTTTATGTAAAAAATTTCTGGAAATTAAATTTTAATTGGTTAAAAGATTTATGATGTCTATGTTAGTTTTAGAAAATGTGAAGTAGGAGAAATTTATGTAAAAATTTCAGACACAAAATATGAATGTTCTCCTTGTGGTGACAAATTTTATTCATTACAAAATCCTATAAAAGATTCTAATTAAGCATGTAAGTCTTGTCCTGAAGAAGGAGCAGTAAGCTGCATCAACAGTAAAATTATTTTATAAAGTGGGTATTGGAGGAATAATAACTTTAGTGATATAATTATCAAATGTGCAAATAGACCAGAAAATTGCCATGGAAAAGAATAAGACGGATTTTGTGTTGAAGGTTATATAGGTAAACGAATTTACATAAAGACTAAATTTAATTACAATAAAATTAACTTTTTTATCTTTGAGTTTTTCTGAATTTTTGCTATCTTATTTTTCTGCTTTAATAAAATACTTAAAAAATATTATTTTTCAGTGCTAAATAAATTATTTTTTATTTACTTATTTATTTATTAATTTTTAAATACTTGAATTCTTTAAATTCATCTTTTAAATAATTAATTATAAAATAAAGGACCTCTTTGTGAGGTTTGCGATAGCTATGGAGTTGTTTGGGGGAAAAAATATGGTTATTTAGGAAACTATTTATGTAATTAATGTAATTAGCCAGCTAGCATAATTTTAAAACAACTGATACATTTCTTACTAATTTCAGCATATTTGATATATTCTATTCAAAAGTCAATAGATGTTGCTTCTAAATAAATTATATGCTAAACATTAAGAAGACTTAATGTAATAATTATAGGTAAGACTGGTGAAAAAGATTAGATTTCTTTTTATATCAAACTTTTCATCAACTATGTATAAGTCACATCAATAATCTAAAATTCGATTTTCAAGTTTTTTGATATTACATTTATAGACATTTCAAGTATATTTGGTAGCCCTTCGTCTTATCTTAGTAACTCACTAGATTGCTTTTTTTCTTAAACAAATATTTTACCTATAGAATACCTTAGAGGTATTTGGGTGTCTATCTAACCATTTTTCTATATTTTGGTAGCAATTGTATTGTTTACATTAAGTAGTACTACAAAATTGAATTAGTAAAAGAGGAGAAGATTCTTTTATGCAGCTTACATATTTGGATTTATAGCTTTTTAATGTAACACTGCTACTTAACTTGTTTTAATTATGTCATGCTCTTAAATCGGTGATGTATATTATATTAAATCTTAGTTGAACAAAGAATGCTATACCTAGGAGCACTTAAAATACACTCTTTATTTCATATTACCTTTATTTTTGTTTTGGGTAATTATAATCACATTATTCATTTTATGGAGAATAAGAATCAAAAGAAATAAATTAACAGAGCCAATATAGCTTTATAAATATGGATTCATTTGCGGAGATTATAAAACAGAATACTTCTATTGGGAATTTCTGAGGATTCTTTTAAGGCTTAGCATAGTGCTAGTGGGAAATATCTTTGCTGAGAACCTTTTAATATTGAAATCGAATTTTGCTGTTTTAATGATTCAAATTTATAATTATCACT